GAGGATGTCCCACGATGCTTAAAACAATTCATTGAAAAGCAAGGCGGGAACGTTAACCTGCCAAATTCTTAGGAGCATAATTTGAACATCAACGCAGCTCGGTTTAGTCATGGTCAAATGCAATTTTAATTCAGAAACATGTGCATTTAAAAAAAAACAACAACTCATCCCTTTAGTACTCCTTTCTTAACTCATTATCCCCCACAAATCTGTAGTTCAAGGCAAGTCCTGTTACCCGTGGAGAGACAAGTGATGGCTGGGTTGATTGACTATGTAAAAAAAGGATCAAACAGCTGCTTTTCGGTTGTGCCTTTTTTCTTCTCCTTTACCCCAAATATTTGCATTAAGCTCACCGGCCAAAAAATGTTTGTACTCTCCGCCTGAGGGAAGTAGTTTGAAATGAGGACCAGCTGCTTGTCCGCAACTGTTTATAGGAAGGCTCTGTTTGAAATGATTACATTTGCTGGGTTTGAGCGGAGGGCGGACTCAAAAGCTTTGCCTAAGGAGGATTCGAAGCATATGCTTGCAAACACGTTCAGATGGCTTATGTAGGGAGCCTCTTCTGCACATGGCAACAATCCGTGTTTTCTTTCGCCAAGAATTGCTGGATAAGCATCATTTGGTTGGGTTCACAGGTCACGCTCTAAAGCACCCCTTGGGAGAATGCAAGGAATGAATGAACCCATAAACTTCCTTCCATTCCCCCCTATTCCTAATTGCCTTACAAGGAAAGGTCCTGGAGATTTGTGGCATCTGATAATACACAGTGTATTTTTTTTTTTTATTCATGATGTTTTATGTCACTTGAAAGACACTTGGTGAAGCTTATAGAATTCTTTATTGGCCAAGTGTGACTGGACACACAAGGAATTTGTCTTTGGTGCATACGCTCTCAGTGTACATAAAAGAAAAGATACATCATAAGGTACAACACTTAATGATAATCATAGGGAACAGATAAGCAATCAAATCATATTAGGAAACAGTCAATATAAATAGTAAGGATACCAGCAACAAGGTTATAGTCATACAGTCATAAGTGGGAGGAGTTGGGTGATGGGAACGATGAGAAGATTAATAGTAGTGCAGATTTAGTAAATAGTTTGACAGCGTTGAGGGAATTAGTTGTTTAGCGGAGGGATGGCGTTTGGGGAAAAACTGTCCTTGTGTCTAGTTGTTCTGGTGTGCAGTGCTCTATAGTGTCGTTTTGAGGGTAGGAGTTGAAACAGTTTATGTCCAGGATGCGAGGAGTCTGTCAATATTTTCCCAGCCCTCTTTTTGACTCGTGCAGTATACAGGTCCTCCGTGGAAGGCAGGTTGGTAGCCATTGTTTTTTTCTGCAGTTCTGATTATCCTCTGAAGTCTGTGTCTGTCTCGTTGGGTTGCAGAACAGTTATTTATGATGACAGTTATTTATCCTAAAAGGCAGGATATCGTTCAAATACAATTTCCAGTTGAGGAGCCCAAACTAGGTTTCAACTCAAAAATAAAATGCATTACGTTGAAATACGCGAAGAATATTTTTGGCAATTTTGATTTCAACATCATTCTTTTTGAGATTGTCAGATCTGTGAAGAACATTCTGGACACAGGTTATTGCAGTTTTGAAAAGAGGCTTTTTACGAGGTGCCCAACCTCCTTACTGGAGTCCGTTAGCCCCCAAACACCCTGAGTTTTTCTGGCTGGGTATTAACATCTCCGGTGTACCTCTAACATGATTGCTGTGAAATGTAAGGAAATGAGTATGAAGGAATCCTATTTCCTTCATAATGTCCATTAGCAACCTGCAAAAGAGGTGAAACTTGAAGAACTGCAACAATTCAGAAATTAGGTGGTATTTTTTAGCAAAGGAGAAACAGGTAGCCTTCGACTTACGACTACAATTAAGCCCAACACTTGTTGCTAAGTGAAACATTTGTTCAGTGAATATCACCCCATTTTGTTGTGGTCCACCAGCAGCCTGCCGAGCTGGCAGCGGAGTCGGACTGTGAGGAGGCTGGGGAGGAACATGGGCCAGTCCTGGAGTCTGGGGAAGGCCCGGACAAGGGCTCTGTGTTGGAGGCAGAGATGAGGTCAGGGCCATCTGGGAGCGATGCGTGGACTCCGGAGCCTCCAGAGGCGGATAGCAGAGAGGCAGAGGAACAGGAGGAGCCTGTTTCTAGTGCACGCATGCGCAGAGCTGCTAGAAGGCAAGAGCAGTAAAGCAAAAAGGACGACTCGGGAGTAAGGCCAGGAGATGATTGGCCCCTCCCATAAGGCTTAAAAGAGCAGCAAAGGCTCTTGGGCTCTTTGTAGGAAAGCTACGTTGCTAAATCTGTTTCCAGTCGGCGTCTCTTGTTTCTGAACTTTGTGGGGCTTTGCCAAGTAAGGCCTTTGGCAGGGTGCCAAAGAAGATAAAGGTGTATGATAAGCTCTAAGGACTTCTTCTAGGACTTGTTTTGCAATTAATTTGGACTAAGCTGGGAATGAAGTAATTCTCAGCTGTTACAATAAAATAGGTTTGTTTGAGACTAATTGTGTCTTGTAATGACTAAGTGAGCCTAGGTCACAACACATTTTACCACTTTTCTTGTGTTTCTGGTTAAGCAAACCACTGCAGTTGTTAAGTTAGTATCCCGGTTGTTAAGTGAATCCGGCTTCCCTATTGACTTGGCTTGTAATAAGTTTGCCAAAAGGGATCCCATGACCTTGGGACAACAGCAACGGTCATAAATATGAGTCAAGTTGCCAAGCGTCCGAATTTTGATCCTGCGACCGTGGGAAAGCTACAACGGTTGTTAAGTGTGGAACAGCAGTCATTTTAAGTCATTTTTTCCTTGGTCACTTTTGAACGGTCGCTAAACGAGCTGTTGTTAAGTCGAGGACCACCTGTTAGAAAGAACCCTCGGGCCGGGAATTCTGGCTATTAGGAAAATTCAAACGTAACAAACTCATCAGCTCCAGGAAGGAGTGAAATAAGAAGCTTGGGCAGAAAGCCGAAGATCGGCGACCGATGGACCGAGACCTATTTTCTGTAGGGTCTCCATAAGGGAGATGTCATTAAGTGACTATCATTAAGTGTTGCACCTTATGATTCTTGATGAACGTATCTTGTCTTTTTATGTACACTGAGAGGATCTGCACCAAAGACAAATTCCTTGTGTGTCCAATCACACTTGGCCAATACAGGATTCTATTCTATTCTATTCTATTCTATTCTATTCTATTCTATTCTATTCTATTCTATTCTATTTCTATTCTATTCTATTCTATTCTATTCTACTATCCTATCCTATCCTATCCTATCCTATATTCTATTCCATTCTGTATTTTCTATTCTATTCTATTCTATTCTATTCTTCTAATTATTCTATTCTATTCTAATTATTCTATTCTATTCTATGATATTCTATTTTACTTCATATTTTCTATTCTATTCTATTGTATTCTATTTTATATTTTCTATTCTATTCTACTTCATATTTTCTATTCTATTCTATTCTAATTATTCTATTCTATTCTTCTAATTATTCTATTCTAATTATTCTATTCTATTCTATTCTATTTTACTTCATATTTTCTATTCTATTCTATTGTATTCTATTTCATATTTTCTATTCTATTCTATTTCATATTTTCTATTCTATTCTTCTAATTCTTCTATTCTATTCTAATTCTTCTATTCTATTCTATGCTATTCTATTCTACTTCATATTTTCTATTCTATTCTATTTTACTTCATATTTTCTATTCTATTCTACTTCATATTTTCTATTCTATTCTACTTCATATTTTCTATTCTATTCTATTCTATTCTAATTATTCTATTCTATTCTATTCTTCTAATTATTCTATTCTAATTATTCTATTCTATTCTATTCTATTCTATTTTACTTCATATTTTCTATTGTATTCTATTTCATATTTTCTATTCTATTCTATTTCATATTTTCTATTCTATTCTTCTAATTCTTCTATTCTATTCTAATTATTCTATTCTATTCTATGCTATTCTATTCTACTTCATATTTTCTATTCTATTCTATTCTATTCTATTCTATTCGTCGCAAAAAGTGAATTTGGGGTACTGGGAATTCCCTGCTCTCCTGTGCATTTTATGGAAAAGAGGAAAACGGTTCCCTCAGGAATTTGCAACTGGTTTCCCCTTCCATTTTCCTTGTGCGTGTGTAGAGTGTCTTTTGTTGTGTTGTCTTAGGGCAGCGGGTTTCCGTCTGGCAGAAGAGCTGAGGCCAGCAGAGCATGTGAAGGGGGGGGTCCCCTACCCCATCTCAAGTGCAGGTTATGCTTTGTTTGGCGTGATCGCCCCAAAAGGGGCCTTCATTTGGGGGGCATGCCCTTCACTCTTGCAGCAGGCTTCTCGGCCCATTTGAAGGCGTGTGTGGACTTTGACTCCCAGAATTCCCCAGCCAGCTTGGCTGGCTGGGGAATTCTGGGAGTCGAAGTCCACACACACCTTCAAGTGGGAGAAAGCGCTCTACAGTTGTTTTTTTTGGGGGGGGGCAGGGAGAAACCCATTTTCTGTTTTTTTGCAGCTGATGGGTAGCCAAGAAGCGTAAGGCTGGCGCATGGGAACTGTAGTCCCGCTTCTGGAAGAGGGAGAGCGGCGGGATGGTTCCACTTAGAATTCCCAATTCATAACTTTTCTTCTCACGCTCCCCCGTCTTCCGTACGCAGATGGTCTCTCCCGTCCTCCGGCGCGCGCGCGCGCACACATACACAACCCCAACCCCCCCCTCTGCACGCCGATGGTCTTTCCCACCGCCCTCCTCCCCCGAGCGCGCAGGCGCGGCTTGGCCTCCCGCTCCATACTTGGCGATGCCCGGCGAGCGGCCTTCTGATTGGCTCGGGGGTGGCTCGACAAAAGGGGAGGTGGAGGAGGAAAAGGAACAATGGGCGGGGCGCCTCTCCCCGCGCGCGTCCCTCCCCTCTAGTGCGCGCGCGCGCGCGCTGGCTGACCCGGATGTGCAACTGCTAGGCAACGGCGGAAGTGGCGGAATAAAAAAAAAAAAAAAAAGGGAGGAGGCGGCGGAGGTGGAGGAGGGCGGCCTGCGGCCTGGCTCAGAGCTCGGACGGAGGGGACCCGGAGTCGCTGCCGTCGCCGTCGGCGCCGTTTCCGCTCCTGGTGCTGAGGAGGGCTCGGCCCTACAGGGAGGCATCATGGTGAGGGGGAAGCCGCGAGGCTGTCAGGGCCTCGGAGAAGTGGGGGGGGGGCTGCGTGTGTGAGGGGGGAGCGTGAGGGGAAAGGGAACGCCTCCGCCAGTAGGGGGCGCTTCCTCGCTTAAGGGGCGTCTGAGGGAGGTGGAAGGGAGGGAGGGGTCCGCATGGACTGGGGACTACAAGCCCCATCCTTCCCAGCCAGGTGGGGGGGAATGAGTCCTGCATGTGGGGGGGAGGGAGGGGGCTGCCCTAAATGCCCCCCCATCTGTGGTGTCTATGTAATGGTGGGGGGATGGAATTGGGGGGGGAGGGTCTTCATAGCCCAGCTGGGTCTTATGGGAGAGTCCTTGACAGTTTGAGGTTCTTGGGGAGGGGAGGGGAGGGAGGGGGGCTGTGGGGCCGGTCTGGGCCGGGGTTGGGGGAAGGAAGAGGAAGGGCTTGAGGGGAGGGGAGGACGACGGCGGCGACGACGACCAGGAAGGGAGCAGCAAGCACTCTCCTTTGCCATGCGGAGGGCTTCAGTCGAAGCTCCCGCCTTTCTTTGCTGTTGGGCCCTCTCTCTCTCTGGCTGGGCTGGCAGGCTTGACAGTAGTCCCCGAGAGCCTCCCTCCCTCCCTCCCTCTCTCTTACCCTTAGTGGGGGGGAGGGGAGAATTTAGGATTATGAAAACCCCTCCCTCCCTGATATGTCCTTCCCTTCCTTCCCTCTTCCTTCTTCCTTTCCTTCCTTCCTCCCCCTCTCCTTCCCTCTTCTTCCTTCCTTTCCCTCTCCTTCCTTCCTTCCCTCTTCTTCCTTCCTCTCCCCTGCTTCCTTCCTTCCCTCTTCTTCCTTCCTCTCCCCTCTCCTTCCCTCCTTCCTTCCTTCCCTCTTCTTCCTTCCTTCCTCTCCCCTCTCCTTCCCTCCTTCCTTCCTTCCCCTCTCCTTCCCTCCTTCCTTCCCTCTCCTTCCTTTCCTTCCTTCCTCTCTCCTTCCTTCCTTCCCTCTTCTTCCTTCCTTCCTCTCCCCTGCTTCCTTCCTTCCCTCTTCTTCCTTCCTCTCCCCTCTCCTTCCCTCCTTCCTTCCTTCCCCTCTCCTTCCCTCCTTCCTTCCCTCTCCTTCCCTCCTTCCTTCCTTCCCTCTTCTTCCTTTCCTTCCTTCCTCTCTCCTTCCCTCCTTCCTTCCTTCCCTCTCCTTCCTTTCCCATCCCCTTCCCTCTTCTTCCTTCCTTCCCTCTTCTTCCTTCCTTCCCTCTTCTTCCTTCCTTCCTTCCTCCCCCCTCTCCTTCCCTCTTTCCTTCCTTCCCTCTCCTTCCTTTCCCCTCCCCTTCCCTCTTTCCTTCCTTCCCTCTCCTTCCTCCTTCCTTCCTAACTTCCTTCCCCCCCCCCAAGAGCTAATATGTTAAATTGGAGCTATCTTAAGCAGAGGAGCTGTGCTTGGCAGGATGTTAAGGTTTATTTCTGACACGCAGTTGAGGAAGACCTGTAATTATAGCCGGCTGGCCTGAGAGAATAAGTTACAGAGAGATGAGGGTCTTGGTACACAAGAGACATTACTGTGATGCTCCCCCCCCCCCCATATGCACATCAGGGGCTTGACATAATCAGCAATTGTGAGGTAATTTCATTTGCAGAGGCTGATAGTGATGGGGAGCAGAGGAAAGATGGGCGAATCGACTGACGATGAAAGTAGGGGAGCAACAGACATGGAATTGTGGGCCGGAGAGAAAAAAAATGCCTACGTTTCTTTCCTTCGTTATATTTTGAGTGGTGGAGAAAAGGAGTTATATTCTGGCTGGGTGGAGTAAAGAAAGAACGAGGATCGAGAGGTGAAAGCAAGGCCCGCCCAGATTTCCAAAATAACAATTGCTTATCTTTCTCTGCTGCTCCAAATGTAAGTCTAGATTGTAAATTTTTCAGGAATGATAACAATGGATAAAATTAGAGATACATACATGGCAGATCTGGAGGAAGTCAAGAGGCTGAGTTTGAGAGATCACCCCTCCCTCCCCATAGTTGTTGGAGCTTTAAGTAATCTTAGGGGTGATGGTGGTGGAGGAGAAGAAAGGGGTATCAAAAATGTTTGGGCAGAGAAGACGAGGTAGTCGTGCTGTGAAGATGATACATTTTTTTCTCTTATTCCTTTTTTTTTTTCTCCAGAAGAGAAATAATAGCCTATACAGGGAATAAACCCCTCAGTTTCTCAAGAAAAAAAAGGCTTTGGGGAGACTAAACGGGATGCTTGTATTCTTCTGTTGAGTCGGCTTCTTTGGTACCAGTGGCTGGAGTGCCAAAGGGCACGATGTATTCGTCTTTGTCTGCTTGAGTTGGGGCATCGGCTGTGAAGTACAGCCGATGAGAGACAGCCTATAATGGGGATACAATATGCAGTGTGAGAAGATGAGGTCTGGATATTGCTGGGAAGGGGAAGGCGGTCTCATCACAGGGGTAATTGTGAAAAGGGGTCTCTTGTGGAAGCGAAGAAGCAATTGAGCAGGCTTCTAAGGTAGATATTTCTCTAGTGGGCAACGGGTTGGACTTGATGGCTCTGAGATTCTATTGTGAAGTAAGATTCTGCATCTTAAACGGCTCTCCTGTTGGGAGAAGGTAGGTTCTTCATGCCAGCGGCCTTTAAGACTTCAGCAGTTGGAAATTGGCCTGATTTCGAGTGTGTCGGTTTGTTCAATGAAAGAGAAAGTATCCTTTTGCAGTTTGCGGGACACACTTAGAGTGTGGAGGCACAAGATGAGTCATTAAATCATATAGGTGGAGTTGTCACTCTGGCCTGTCTACTCGCAGAAGCACCCGACGCCTTTCAGCTGACGTGGTGCATCTTTCAAAGGGGATTTGGGCCTGCTGCAACAGGTTACCCAACGGGTTCCCAAAACATTGATCAGTACGGAACCGTATCAGCTTGCCACCCAACCTTATGAGTCAGTCCGATGCAGATCTCTCCAGCTCGCATGCCCAGAATGAAATGCTGCTTGCCTGGGGCAGTTCCCTTAATTAATGGCCGCTACAACAGGAAGTGCTCCAATTTAAAAAAAAACGAAACCCGTTTCCACTGACAGTTAAAGCTTGAACGGCCTTGTGCTGAATGGAATTGTTCTTCCAGTTAACTTGATTTTTCTGGGAGGGGCGCGTAAGTCACAAATCCTCAGAGTGAGGACATGACATGCATGTTCCAGAACCAATCGGAAATGTGTTTTGACGCTTGTAGAATTTGCAAGCCTTGGGTACCCGTATCGCAACGATGCGCTTCTTTGGTTTCACAGACTTACCCACAAGTTCTCTTTACACTGGCTTGTAGGTAGGTCGCTGCTAAGTGTAGCAGGGGCACGCCGTTGTGTTAGGACGGTAGCAATTACCGCGCAACCCTTTTTAACGCTACCGGTGAACAAAAGAGTTGATAAAAGAATCTGGAAGCATATTAACGGAAAAACCACAGAACGTCTGTTGCGGCAGCCTGAATCGAAACAAACCTAGCTGTCTAGGATTACAAGTTTGCTTTTGGTCAAACCATCAGATCCCTTCAAACCCATGGCTTACTTTTCCAAGTGTTTCTTGAAGTTACGTGATGACTTCCACCCAGAAGCCTAGAAGCACCCGTCGTGCCTCCTGGGCCAAGCTGTTCTTCATTAGAGGCCTTACCCATCTTAACTTCCTTTCCGTGCCCTCTGGTCAGGCTTTTGTTTGCTTGTTCGTTCCTTAGTGGCTGGCACTCTGAGAACCGCTGACTTCAGATGGCCCGTTTAATTTCTGTTTTGCTTGCGAAGGAGGGATTGCTTAACCACTATGCCAATTAAGCGTGCCTCAAATGGAGCAGGGTTTCTTTCCTTCTGAGTGGTTGAGAAGATGGTTATTTCTCCTTCCCGGAGGCGTAATAGGGTGGCACAGAGGCTCTTTCCTTGTTTTGTGCATTAGGCTGTACAATGCTGGTGGGAAAATTAGCCTAGCTTCCCCCACAAAAAAAGCACAAAGCACATTAAGGTTCAGGCATGACCCACTGCCTGGTGTGCATTTTTAGTCGCAGTAACATAGCCACTCTTGCTGAGCACAAAACATAACCATAAGGTATAGGGCTGCTCTATTTTTAGAGCACTTGTGGTACTGTACTTGCTCCTTTTGGAAGCGGAGGTGAAGTGCCACTTCTCTTCCAACAAGCTGACTTAGCAATTGTGGGGCAGAGCCAGCAGCAGAAGTGGGGCGTGGTTTCCAAGGGACAGGCCTTGAACGGCGGCAAAAGGAGTGGGGTGAGGGGGGGGATATTTTGTGCTGACAGCCCTTGCTTAAGCCCCGGTCTCCTTCCCGTTTCCCTTGCCCACGAGGGTTTGTCTTTTAAAAGGCCTGTTTTTTCCTCGCTCGGCCAAGTTTCTGCATTAAAAAAAAAGGGTTTAATGAATTAAAAAGTCAAGGGAAGAAAAATGCTCTTTGCGTGCGCACTCTGCGGGTAGAACAGCGGGCACCCGAAGAGGCATTTAGAAAGACCTTCCTACTGAAGAGGTGTTAAGCCTACTTGATCCGAAATGTTTTGAGGACCAGGAAGCAACTGCAAGCATAACCAGTTTCTGCGGGGTTGAGGGCAACGTTGGATTTTTTAAAATAAAAAGTTGAGGCACAGGTTCTAAAAGGGGCACCTGTTGGAGGGCAAGAGGGCCCAGGAGATTTAAAAAAATGAAATGGCTGCTTTTCAGTATTTACATGGCTTAGCTTTGTACCTCGTGTATATAACCCAGTGGTGAAATCCTCCGTGGGTTGCCACCAGTTCGTTACCCAGGCATGTGCAGTGTACACCAGAAGTGCACACATGTGCAGTGTGTTCCAGATGCACGCTATGCACACACATGTGCAGTGCACACCAAATGCATGCTATATGCACCCATGCGCAGTGTGCACCAAGGGCCTGGTGGCTCAGCAGACTGATAGCATTGTGATTAACACCAGCTGTCTGCAATTACTGTAAGTTCGAATCTCTCCAAGGCTCAAGGTTGACTCAGCCTTCCATCCTTTCAAAGGTAGGTAAAATGA